CTCGAAGAAACGTAATAGTTTGTGGTCTTGTGTATGGAGTAGTAGATCCTGAGGCTGAGCCAAATTGCCATCCTCAATACGAGTCGCTGCAACCTCAGACACTGTAGGACGGTTATGCGTTCGAGGCCCAACAGAATTGTCGTGAAGGCGAAACACCAAATCAACAACGTCATCCGTGTTGTGTTGGCACACTTGCTCCCCGAAGGAGAGAAACTCCTTGGCTAGTGGGTTGTGCTCTGCTATCATTTTCTCAATGTCTAGCAACACAACGCGATTGAGGTCTGCAATAATCCCCATACGCCGCTCCGCGCGGCGCTGCATGTGGAGATCCACAATATAGATCCGTGTAAACTTTGGGATTCTCTCTCGCCTGTCCGAGGGTCGATTAGTGGCAGTAGGGACCCTAAGCAGTGCTCCATGGCTCCTTGAATGCAATAAGTGTAAATACCTCGCCTGGCACGCTTTCGGCTCAGCATACGCTATCAAATGATTGATTCGAACAGGACGCTTCACTTGGCGAAAAAGCGGACGCTTGGTAGTACGCGCGGACACCTCGACGGAACTGAGGGTCTCAATGTAGCTGGAGCAATTTAGGTTGATCTGGTCGTAGGGGACAGGCCACTTCCACGCGTTACCGTGCGGAGTTGTAGGCGGCAGTTTGGGTCACCCGTGACCGTCGACGCCTCAAAAACTTCATCGGAAATAAGGGCGTGGCGTGACGGGTACATTGGCGTCCTCTTCGCAGTCTCTCGAGTTCAGCTCAATGTTCTTCTACCGTCCGTTGCCCGCGTCGTTCTGCATGTCGGTCACGGTCTTGCTCACGCTCAGCTTCTCGTTCTTACTCCGAAAGCGCCGCTCTTCGAAACGCATGTTGCTGTCTGTTAGTCACCCGAAGGACAGAGCAATTGCTCTCGTTCAGCAGCACTCGATGGGAAACGCGATACGTTGTATTTACCTCGCACTCGCGGTCTTCCTGGCTCAAAACCGCACGTCTTTCTTGAAAGCAAACACTCTCTTGCTCTCGTCGGTCCTGGAGCGCGTCCCCGCTCAGTCGGGCTCTTCGCGCACGTTTGCTTAGCATCGTTCTTGCTGGCACGGTCGCGCTGAGAGAGTGTCATATTAGCTTGTCTCGTGCATCACTGACACGTCGACGTTCTTTCTGAGGTAATGTCATGTTAGCTCGGCTTTTGTGTACGCTGCGCATCCGAAACGGGGGCCACTTCTTGAACTGAAGCTTGTATTACAACCGGCACCTAAAATAAACCTGCAACCCCCGGCTTCCGCTTGATATGCCACTTCCATTTCAGCCGCGAACAGTCGCAGATGTTCTGAAGGATCCGACTCTTCTGTCGTCTCCTCCCGTTCTTGAGTAGGTGCAGTACGACTGTCCGTAGCGGGGGGTGGGGCACGACGTGCTGCACACTAAGAGCCTTCAGCGCTTTGTTCAAGTCATAACGTCTACAAATGCAAACTAACATGCATACACGCAGCGTATCTCACGTGGGGTGGCGCTCCGCGGCTTCCAGTTTTAAAAATGGGGGCAAAAAGAAATTTGAACTTGCAATTAAGTACGATATGTAGACCACATACAACATGACAATCACACAATTATATATCAGCCAATTGGGGCCGCCTTCACTGCGCTCAGCAGCTAGTAAAACTGCGGGTATATGCGTCACCCCTTTCTAACTCTAGCCACGAACGGAAAGACAGACACGTTGCTCTAGTTGAAAGTAGTAGAATGAATACCTAGTCTCAACACGATACAGATACATCCCCACTCTCTATTTAT